ATATTTTATATATTTATATATATATAAATTTATATATATATATATCATATATATATATATATGAAAAATATACCAAAAATGTATGTGGGTACTCAAATGAAAGCTTTTAATTCCTGTAACATCAAAATGATCTTATATTTTAAAAAAACGTCAAAAGTTAAGAAAGTACAATGTAATTTAACAATAATCATTAAATCATTATTAAATAAAGCAAAATTTTATTTATTCATATTTTATAAGTTATGGCAGTCACGTAGTGACTGCAAATTTACTAGTGACGTTAAATTTCATCAAATCAGCAGTGGCGAAGTGATACCACTCATTCTTAACAGCGCGGATGGATCAGGGTTCGAGCCCATTCTCGAGTAAAATTAGCTTTCTTTTTTTTTATTCTTTAAAAAATTAATATTCTTAACCCGTTATCAATATCTTAATTTTATTTAATTAATTTTTAAAAAAAATTTTTGGATTAAAAAATTTAGAAAAAATATTGATTGAAGTAAATCTTAGCATTGTTTCTAAAAAAATAAATTAAAATAAAAACTTACCTTACCCTGCTAAATCCAAGGACCCTAGATCAAGCCCGAGACTCGCCCAGTTAATATTATTTTCATTAAAAAAAATAAACACTAAGGTACTGTACTGAGGTGTGACGCTGATCTTCGGCCGGTAAAATTGATTTTGATATTCAGATATTCCACCCGCTAGGTGCCGCCAGCTGATTGGAGGGCAGCCTTAGAAGCAGCAGGACCTAGAAATAAGCGATAAATTGTGTATAGCTTTGATGTTGTTTGCTGGAGGTTAAAATCGATTTTACAAGTTTACTTGGAAATTAATTAAGGTTATGCAAAAATGTGCTAGAATATTTACAAGGTAAGTTTTAAATCTTTTGTATTTAATTATTAATATTCTAATTTTATATTATTATTATTAATTCTTTTTTTGTTACCTGGTTTTTTATAGAAGCCGTAGTTTTGCAGATTTGGAGATTTTGCCATGAATTTCTTGGGAACGTTTTACATACTAGACATAGTTTTTTACGCTTGTGTGTAATTACTTGTACGAGAAGTCGGAGGTCTGAAAGAAGAAAATTTATATGTTACACATGGTGATTTAGTTATAAAGTTTAAGGTAGGTTGGTTTTTAATTATTTATTTGGATTGTAAGATAGTATTTTTTTTGTGAGGCCCTGTAGGGCCTCACAAATAAAAAAAAAAAAAAATTGTTTTAGAAATGATTTTGGAGAAAAAAATTTTAATTAGGAGCTAACTCCTAAAATATTGATTTTAGGAAAAAATTTTAGGATACTAATTGTAGCTTAGGAAATTTCCTATAAAAAATGTTTTTATACTATAGGGTTATTTTTAATATTTTAGGAGATATAGGGACTTTAGGAGTAACTAGAAAGTGGAAAATTAAAAATTATTTTTTAGGAATTTTAAAAGTGGCTATAACTCCTAAAATATTGATTTTAGGAGAAAATTTTAGGAAGAAAATTGTAGCTTAGGAAATTTCCTATAAAAAATGTTTTTATACTATGGGGTTATTTTCAATATTTTAGGAGATATAGGAACCTTAGGAGTAACTAGGAAGTGGAAAATTAAACATTATTTTTTAGGAGTTAGAAAAAAGGATATAGCTCCTAAAATATTGAATTTAGAAAAAAATTATATGAGACCTAAATTGTAGCTTAGGAAATTTCCTATAAAAAACGTTGCTATGCTATATGTCTATCTCCAATATTTTAGGAGATATAGCAAGTATAGGAGTGACTAGATAATAAAAAATAGAAAATTATAATCTAGTTCCTATAAAAGTGGCTATAACTTCTAAAATATTGATTTTAGGAAAAAATCATAAGAATCCAAAATTGTAGCTTAGGAAATTTCCAAGAAAAAATGTTTTTATACTATGGGGCTATTTTTAATATTTTAGGAAATATAGGGATTTTAGGAGTGATTAGAAAGTGGGAAATGAAAAATTATTGTTTAGGGACCTTAAAAGTGGCTGTAACTCCTAAAATATTGAGTTTAGGAGAAAATTATAAGAATCCAAAATTGTAGCTTAAGAAAATTCCTATTAAAAACATATTCATAGTATAGGTCTATCTTCAATATTTTAGGAGATATAGGAACTTTAATTGTATTTTAAGAGTGAAAAATAAGCTATCATGTTGTAGGTAACAGAAAAGTGGCTATAACTCCTAAAATATTGATTTTAGGAAAAATTTATTAGGAATCATTATTGTAGCTTAGAAAATTTCCTATAAAAAATGTTACTATACTATAGGGTTATCTTCAATATTTTAGGAGATATAGGAACTTTAGGAAGTGGAAAATTAAAAATTATCATTTAGGAACTATAAAAGTGTCTATAGTTCTTAAAATATTGAGTTTAGGAAAAAATCATAAGAATCCAAAATTGTAGCTTAGGGAATTTTCTATCAAAAACATATTAATTGTATCGGTCTATCTCCAATATTTTAGGAGATATAGGAGCTTTAATTGTATTTTCAGAGTGAAAAATGAACTATTCTAGATAATAGAAAAATGGCTATAACTCCTAAAATACTAATTTTAGGAAAAAATCGTAAGAATCCAAAATTGTAGCTTAGAAAATTTCCTATCGAAATTGTTCGTATACTATAGGGTTATTTTCAATATTTTAGAAGATATCGATGATATAAATAAAATCCACCAATTTTAGATGTACCCACTATCAATTCGAGCGTGTCCTGGTGACTACAATGAAGAAGAGCCAAAGCGCGTGGACGTTCCCACAACAACGCGGTCAAACCAGGACTACAGTAACTTCGACATAATAAAAGCGACGCAATATGGCGCGCTGGAGCGAGTAACAGAGCTGATAGAAGCCGGAGCGGACGTTAACGAGCCGGACTCAGAAACAGTGACATTGTTGCACTGGGCAGCGATCAACAACAGGACGGAGATCGTGAAGTACTTGATAGCCAAGGGAGCAAACGTGGACGCGATTGGTGGAGAGCTTGCCTCGACGCCGCTGCACTGGGCAGCTAGACAAGGTCACCTTGCGACTTTCTCAATTCTGATTCGAGCTGGAGCAGATCCTTCGCTGAGAGACTCAGAAGGGTTCGCTTGCATCCACCTGGCTGCCCAATTCGGTCACACGGGCATCGTTGCGTACCTGGTGGCCAAGGGGGTCAATCCCAACGACCCGGACCGCAGCAGCATGACTCCGCTGATGTGGAGCGCCTTTAAGGTCAACGGGTATGTAAATATTGGTTGGAGGCTGGACTTATCAAGCAGAGGCTTACTTGTCATGTAGCCAAAATTACAATTGCTTTTTCAGCCTTGATCCTACAAGGCTACTCCTGGTCCTAGGAGCCAGCCACTCGCTCACGGATATCATTCATGGAAACACTGCCCTTCATTGGGCGATTATTGCCAAGAATAATACAGCTATTCATACCCTGATCACTCATGGCGCATCTTTGGAGATTGCTAACTTTCAGAATGAGACGCCGCTGACTCTTCTGGGGCCTCATATTGGCGCAGCCTGGCTGGGTTCTAAGATTAGTCATGAGATCAGGGAACGGCAGGGGAGATCAAGGGCTTGGTGCAGGGACAAGGTACAAAATTTTATTTTTTTAACCATAAATTTTAAGTATAAATTTCTATTTAATAAATAGAGATCTTATTTTACTTTTTTACACTTATTTACGCATTTTTAGAAAAATTTAATAATTTTAGTTTTCCCGCTCTCTGTAAGATGGCGTTGCGCGGTGGATAAGGAACTACGTCACTCGCCCGCGAAAATTCAAATTTAAAAAATTAATTTAAAATTACGAATTTAAAATAACGAAAGTATTTCTGCGTATTATTTTTTTAGACATTCTTTACACTAAAAGGGTACTTGGATCTACTTAACCCAATCACAAAAATCCACATGAGTTTATATGGGAATCCACATAGGAAAGAATGGATTCGTATAGGAATCCATAGGAAGTGTGGATTCCTAACGGAATCCACACGTGAACCTGTGGATACATGGATTCCTATATGGAAAATCCACATAGGAAATATGAATTTGTATAGGAATCCACATAGGAACCTGTGGGTTAATGGATTCCTGTATGGGAAATCCACATCGGAAGTATGGATTCCTATAGTGAATTTATATAAGTGGAATAAACATAGACCTTGTTAGAACGTGACTTAGGCCAGTGAGTAGCGTAGAAGACTGTCACCCATGAGGTACCGGGTTCAAGTCCATCAGACGCCAGCAGTTTTTTCATTAGATAAAATTACAAAATCCCTTTTTCACAATTTATTTCAATTAATAATTAATTAATAGCAATTACTTCATAATTATTTTTAATTTTTTAAATAAATTTTTTTTCGCCTGATTATTATGGGAATCTATGTAGGATCCTACCCTGGATTCCTATATAGGAAACCATATGAGAATCTATCCGAAAACGCCATGTGGGAATCCAGGCTGGTTTTCCATATGGATTTTTTTTATAGGAAAGTCACTTGCGGTTTTGGAAATCCCGCAGATTCGATATTTATACGATATTAATGCTGTATGTTTACCTAATTCAGTTATTTTAGCCAGATTTTGCGGAATTATTACAGAAAAATTACGAAATAAATTCAGAATATTTACGGCAATACAATAGTAATATTACGGAATATTAACAGCATTCAGTAAATGTACCGCATATTTTCTATATTCCTTATTAACTCATCTTTGAACTTTAAAAATCCTACAATCCCTACGCTTTACTTCCAATGATTGTTTGATTAGAATGAAAAACGTAAGAATTAATGGAATAAAAATGAAAATTTTATAATCTGCACAGTTTTGATGATATGACTTTAAATGCAGCAATCAACAAAAAATACTAAATATTTGCTATTTTTTAATTATATCATAAGCGGCAAAATTGCAGTATAACTTCGGTATTATTGCCGTAGAAATTTGCTTGAAAATGATCTATTAATAATTAATAAAATACTTATTAATAATTTTTTTTTTCAGCGTATAAGGTGGTACTGTATGGTCAGCACGCCCTTTATAGTATTCTATCTGATTGGATTAATATTTCAAAGCAATTTGGATTATCTGATAAAACTAGGTGCCTTCTTAGTACTCTATATTGCTGTTTATACCGCTAAGAATTATCTGTTTGACGAGAGACTGTTTCACATTTTACCAATGTCTATTTATCTTGCCACCAAGGTAAGTTTAAACTTTCAAATTTATTTTTAATTAAGTATACTTAATAGAATAAGTTGATAATAAAAGTTTTGATTAAATACTTACAGATGTGGATATATATCACATGGATATTCTGGCTAGGTGTTCATGCAGCCTGGTACCTCTGGGTTTTATTAGCTGGTGGCTCAGTTCCTCTCTGGATTTGTTTTATTCAGTCATGGCGTGGAGATCCTGGTGTTATTTCGGCTACCCATGAGGACAAGTTAAATGTAAGTACAATTTTTATACTATAGGTCTATCTTCAATATTTAAGGAGATATACTCACTCCTAAAATTTCCTAAATTTCAGACAATAGTTGCAGTAGCAGAGACAGGAGGCTTTGAGCCTCAAGGATTTTGTACTAGCTGTTTAGTGCGTAGGCCAATAAGATCAAAGCACTGTTCATCTTGCGACCGCTGTGTAGCCCGGTTTGATCATCACTGTCCTTGGATCAACAATTGTATCGGTAAGACCTCTAATATAAATTCAAAAAAATATTCTACCTTTTTTTTTCTCATAAAAAATTTTCAATTTAGGCGCGTACAATCACAAATATTTCCTGGGATTCCTAATATCTCTCCTGGGTCTGTGCTTCGTGATCCTAGCAGCGACGATCCAGTACTGGAAGTTCGAGTGCTGGTCGAACATATCCGACGAGAAGCACCCAGACAACTACTTCGTGGCAGCAGCGACTTGCGACGCCTGGGTAATGTGGATCGCTGCTAACACAGGTCTGCACTCTTTATGGGTCGGCGCGCTGCTTATGTGCCAGCTGTACCAAATAATGGTCCTGGGGATGACCACCAACGAGAGGATGAACGCCGGGAGGTACGAACACTTCAAGCACGGGAACCCGTTCCATCGCGGCGCGCTCCAAAACCTTGCGGACTTTTGTAACTTCAGTTTGTGCGGGATCCAAGGGAAGCCAAGCTCTGATTGGCTTAACAGCTTTGATATTAAAAAAAGTGTCGAGAAGGTGCCGCTGTTAAATACTAAAGATACTTTTCAATATGTTTAAAATTATTATTAATTATTAACTAAGAAGTTCAATTTAATATTAATTATTATTATAAAAAAGTTAAAGCACTTACCGGTGCTGGTTTGATCGGGATGAATTTTTGATATTGAATTATTGATGATCAATCTTGGATATATTTTGTTGGAGAAATATAATTTAGCCACAACTCGTAAACTAATCGGCGGATTTAGCTCGTATTCTAAATGTATCTCGGTATTGATTCGTAGAATAAGTACACTGAGTTTCATAAAGATCGGTCAAGAACTTTAGCCGCAATCCTGCTTACATGCCGCTCTCTTCCGTAGATGTAAACTTTTCGGCTGATTAAACATATCCAAAAATTTTCTTTAAATTCCGACGTCCCGGCTACAATATCTACATTTCTAAAGAAATCTTCCTAAAAAATCTTTTAATTATTATATCTCGACAACAAAACGATAATAAGCTACTTTTTATGTAGATTTCTTTATAAATCTGTTGCAGAGGTACTCTTGTAGGAATTAACATAAAATTTTGCTGAAATATGTTTTATTTTGTTGAGTTATACCGAAAATAAGCTCAAAAGTTTATATATGTGATAGAACCGGGGTGTAAGCACGATTACGGCCGCAATTCTTTACGGATCTCGATCAAACTCAATACATTTATTCTATCAACGAAAATCTCGGTCAAGTTTAAAAAAGGGGCAAATCGGTCCATTAGTTCCAAAGTTGTGGGTGTGAGAAAAATTTTTTCATTTTAATTAAAATATTTATTTAACGAGATTTTCCCAAATAAATTAAAAAGCATAATTGATAACTTAATTCTGGCAATTGTTATTTTAAAGTTCATGTAATTATCAATTTACCTTATTATAATTTCTTTTTAAATAATTTTAAATATTTTTTCTTCAGCTTATAAAATCAGCAATATGAAAAATAATTATTTTTATGTAATTATCCTCGAGATAACTGCATAACTAATTGTATAAAAATTCCTAGTGCAAGTTATAGCTCATTAAATAAGTAACAATTTTAATTATTAAATGTATAATTTCCCTTAAATTTATAAATTTTACAAACGTTCTAAAGGTAGTGTCAAATATTTAAACTATTATGTGCTCAAATTGATAAATCTATCTTTCTATATCAAGTGTGGCTTTTTTAAAATTAATTTTTCAATAAAATTAGTCACTTTTTTTTAACATTATAAATTTTGGCTCAATGAAATATTTAAAAATAAAATAATTCCAAGATTGATTAAACGTTCCAATAATAAATATTGAATAAATAATTATGATAAAATAAATGAAAGATTTAAAATGACAGCATATCAATGGTATTTATTCTTACCAAAGAATAATTAACGTTCTGCCCGATTTAACTCCGCATAGTATTTAAATCCAGCGTTAATCAAAAATTTATTTCAAAAAAATGTAAATATTATTATTTACTAAACAAATACTCAAGTTGTTTTTAATTACGCACAATACTTAATACATTCCATATTTTAAATGTTAGAATTAAGCGGAGGTTTATCTAGTCAGGATTTAATAACCATGTAACCGATAATCTAATTAATAATTAATAATTATCAATTAATTATGTATAATACACATTTGTAATTTATATTCTAAGCTTTTAAAAAACAATCCAATTATTATACATATAAATATTATACTTACGCATTCATTTTTTTCTTTTTTGGGTAAATGTCATCAGTGTTTACCCAAAATTTATTATTTATTTATATTTCTTTTTATAATTAATATACTTTTAATAATTAAGAATGGCTCAAGATTCTAAAGCTTGTAATTTAACGCCTGAAAATGTTAATCCAAATGTAATAAATCCTCTTAAATTATTTCTGGTATTTATTTAAATAATTTATCAATATATTTTTTGGTTATTTTAGGGCGAGAATACTTTTCAACTTTCGAAGAATAAATTGTATTAATAATTTTATTATATGGTAAGTAATTTTTTAAAATTAATCTTATAATTAATCTTCCTTTTTTTTTTTTTTAATTTTTAGAAGTTCTATGAGTTATCTTATTTCATCAGAAGATATTTTATCTGATCCAAGAGTCAAAAATTCTGAACAGGTAAAATTTGAAGCTGATTTTAAATGTAGAATAGGTAATAAACTAAGGTAAAAGCCCCAATTATTGACACTATAAGAGACAAAGTTATGAATTAATTTTTTTTAAGCAATCAAATATCAGCATTAAATTTTGTTTGTTTGTCTCAAGTAATGTTTTAACTAATTTCTTTTTTTTTAAATGATAATCACTGATATTTACTAATTAATTTTAAATAATTAGAGTATTCGGATACACCGATTGACAGGTTAAAAAACTGATTGATCTAATTATTGACACACCTTACCAATTATTGCCACCTAAACTAATGCCTAGAATCATCAGCTTATTCTTATTTATCCAAACTAATTAAGTAATCAATATTATTAAAGTTTATTAATAATAATTTCCATAAATGATTAATTACTATTAAAAATATAAAAATTAATTTAAAAATAATTTATTGAATCAAGAGTTCAAACTCTTACAGTTAATTTTTTAGGCTAAAGTCAAAAAAAGGCGTGATAGCGCTGTCGACTGGCTGTCAATATGAGATTCAACTTAAAAATTATCAACTAGTTATTGACACCCATTATTTAAATATTATAAAGGAAACAATTAATTTCGATTATTCAATTTTATTAATTTTTCATATATTGTTAATTTAAAAAAAAAAAATCATATAATTAGATGAAGAAATTAATTTAAACTTGGCATTTAAAAAATTGCTTTTCTAACCAAAGTTGTTAAGAAAGACACTCGTAAGCTGGTTTGATGAACAGGTGGTCTTTTTTTTAATAATTAACATTTAATATTTTGAACTGAGTAATTTTTTTCAATTTTTTAATTAATTAGAATTTAATTAAAATTTATATGATAGTTATTCTTATTACAGATAATTAAATATATTTAAAAATTATTTAGGGTGTCAATATTTAGACCCTTGTCAATAATTGGGGCTTTTACCTTAAATCCTTCTATCAGTGTCAGTATAAATTTTAAATACAATTTTTTTTTGAAAAAAATTGACCAAGTCAATTTTTTTATGAAAATCAAGTTAGCTGACATTTCAAAATTTTTAGAAATTTTTTTATACAAAAAATTTCAATTAAACAATTAAAAAAAAAATATCACATGTTAAAAACTTGAAAAACTATAAGTGCAATTTTATAAAATTATCTTTTTAGTTGTAATTTAATTAAAAAAAAAAAAAAACTCAAAAATTTTTAAGACGTCTGCTAACTTCAGTGTTATATTTTTTTTATTTAAAAAAAAATTACAAGTAAATTTTATTTGTAATTATTAATTTTAAAAAACTTACCTAATAAACACATTTTTTTTTTTTTTTTTTTTTCAGCAAAATTTCGATCCAAAATTTAAAGAAATAAATATTCAAATAGAAGAAAATCCCGAAATTTACATTTTCGACCACGGAAACTCTACTTATTACAAAACAACCGACGACTCACCACTTCTAACCTCCCAAAAGCTAGTTTCAAAATCTCAAAACGCGGCAGTTCGTTTCTGGGCAGAAATATTCTCGAGTATTCACATCGGAATAACCTTTGTCACTTCATTTCTTCTTCAACTATTAAAGTTCCTAATGGTGAGCACTCTGCGCCCTCTGACAGTCGGCGTTATCCAATTAACGAGCGACTATTTGATAAAACCAGTTCTGAGCATTACGTTCAACGGTTTGGTCCAGCCGGTTCTGATCTTCCTGTTGAACGTCGCGACATCTGTACGGGATGTTTGCAAGCCTCTAGCGGAGGCCTTGGGATTCTTCTTATTAGAAATTTCTAATCTCTGCCGCGCTTTTAGATTTGTTGAAGTCAAACATTAGGTAATTTATATTATTTATATAATTATTAATTAATTATAAATAAAGAAAAATTCAGATCTAACAATTAGAAAAAAAAAAATTATAAAACTTGAAATAAAAAGCAAGGTAATAAGGTAAAAGCACTAATTATTGACACTAATATAGAAGTGATATTTACTTTAAACATAATTATTAATTAATAAATTAAAACTCAAAAATTGAGTAACGGTATATTTATTTATACAATTAAATTTATTTATTTTTCAGAACAATTTTATCATTATCTATAAACTATTAAAATAATAATTATCTCTGGCTCACAATAAATTATTTACAATCTCACACGATTTAACAACAAACGAAGGAAAATATATTGGTGACTATTTACAGGTACTAAGCCCATTCCTTCTTTTGCGTTTATTAAATAGTTATTATCAACATTTATCTTTATCTTTTTTCTTTTAAATAATTAATAGTCTTTCCCTCGCAAGCAACAACCTCCACGCTAATTATGCAGTGACTTGTAAACAAGCAAAAAATAAAACAGTCCAACGAGGGAAAGATTTAAGAGATCACAAACTACAATCTCGTAAACATTAAATAAATAAATTAATTTATTAGGATACTTTTAAGTGGCTACAGTCGTCGGTTCTGGAACTGATGACGCAGAATCACCTAAAAAATATTTTTTTATTAATAATATGTATTATTATAATTTTATAATAAATATTTTTTTATTAATTATAAACTCCGAGCTCAAAAAATTGGATGGAATTTTTTTTGAAGTTGAGGAACACGCCACCCTGGCGCTGAGAGCGCCAGGAACAGTGATAGAATTTATAATGTTAAAAAAAGGAATATAAATAAATAATAATAAATGTTGGGTATATATTGATGACATTTACCAAAAAAAAAAAAAAAAAAATGGATGCGTAAGTATAATATTTATATGTGTAATAATTGGATTGTTTTTTAAAAGCTTAGAATATAAATTACAAATGTGTATTATACATAATTAATTGATAATTATTAATTATTAATTAGATTATCGGTTACATGGTTATTAAATCCTGACTAGATAAACCTCCGCTTAATTCTAACATTTAAAATATGGAATGTATTAAGTATTGTGCGTAATTAAAAACAACTTGAGTATTTGTTTAGTAAATAATAATATTTACATTTTTTGAAATAAATTTTTGACTAACGCTGGATTTAAATACTATGCGGAGTTAAATCGGGCAGAACGTTAATTATTCTTTGGTAAGAATAAATACCATTGATATGCTGTCATTTTAAATCTTTCATTTATTTTATCATAATTATTTATTCAATATTTATTATTGGAACGTTTAATCAATTTTGGAATTATTTTATTTTTAAATATTTCATTGAGCCAAAATTTATAATGTTAAAAAAAAGTGACTAATTTTATTGAAAAATTAATTTTAAAAAAGCCACACTTGATATAGAAAGATAGATTTATCAATTTGAGCACATAATAGTTTAAATATTTGACACTACCTTTAGAACGTTTGTAAAATTTATAAATTTAAGGGAAATTATACATTTAATAATTAAAATTGTTACTTATTTAATGAGCTATAACTTGCACTAGGAATTTTTATACAATTAGTTATGCAGTTGTGTCGAGAATAATCACATAAAAATAATTATTTTTCATATTGCTGATTTTATAAGCTGAAGAAAAAATATTTAAAATTATTTAAAAAGAAATTATAATAAGGTAAATTGATAATTACATGAACTTTAAAATAACAATTGCCAGAATTAAGTTATCAATTATGCTTTTTAATTTATTTGGGAAAATCTCGTTAAATAAATATTTTAATTAAAATGAAAAAATTTTTCTCACACCCACAACTTTGGAACTAATGGACCGATTTGCCCCTTTTTTAAACTTGACCGAGATTTTCGTTGATAGAATAAATGTATTGAGTTTGATCGAGATCCGTAAAGAATTGCGGCCGTAATCGTGCTTACACCCCGGTTCTATCACATATATAAACTTTTGAGCTTATTTTCGGTATAACTCAACAAAATAAAACATATTTCAGCAAAATTTTATGTTAATTCCTACAAAAGTACCTCTGCAACAGATTTATAAAGAAATCTACATAAAAAGTAGCTTATTATCGTTTTGTTGTCGAGATATAATAATTAAAAGATTTTTTAGGAAGATTTCTTTAGAAATGTAGATATTGTAGCCGGGACGTCGGAATTTAAAGAAAATTTTTGGATATGTTTAATCAGCCGAAAAGTTTACATCTACGGAAGAGAGCGGCATGTAAGCAGGATTGCGCCTAAAGTTCTTGACCGATCTTTATGAAACTCAGTGTACTTATTCTATGAATCAATACCGAGATTTTAGTAAATAATAATATTTACATTTTTTTGAAATAAATTTTTGATTAACGCTGGATTTAAATACTATGCGGAGTTAAATCGGGCAGAACGTTAATTATTCTTTGGTAAGAATAAATACCATTGATATGCTGTCATTTTAAATCTTTCATTTATTTTATCATAATTATTTATTCAATATTTTATTATTGGAACGTTTAATCAATCTTGGAATTATTTTATTTTTAAATATTTCATTGAGCCAAAATTTATAATGTTAAAAAAAAATTGACTAATTTTATTGAAAAATTAATTTAAAAAAAAAGCCACACTTGATATAGAAAGATAGATTTATCAATTTGAGCGCATAATAGTTTAAATATTTGATACTACCTTTAGAACGTTTGTAAAATTTATAAATTTAAGGGAAATTATAGATTTAATAATTAAAATTGTTACTTATTTAATGAGCTATAACTTGCACTGGGAATTTTTATACAATTAGTTATGCAGTTATCTCGAGGATAATTACATAAAAATAATTATTTTTCATATTGCTGATTTTATAAACTGGAGAAAAAATATTTTAAATTATTTAAAAAGAAATTATAATAAGGTAAATTGATAATTACATGAACTTTAAAATAACAATTGCCAGAATTAAGTTATCAATTATGCTTTTTAATTTATTTGGGAAAATCTCGTTAAATAAATATTTTAATTAAAATGAAAAAATTTTTCTCACACCCACAACTTTGGAACTAATGGACCGATTTGCCCCTTTTTCAAACTTGATCGAGATTTTCGTTGATAGAATAAATGTATTGAGTTTGATCGAGATCCGTAAAGAATTGCAGCCGTAATCGTGCTTACACACCGGTTCTATCACATATATAAACTTTTGAGCTTATTTTCGGTATAACTCAACAAAATAAAACATATTTTAACAAAATTTTATGTTAATTCCTACAAGAGTACCTCTGCAACAGATTTATAAAGAAATCTACATAAAAAGTAGCTTATTATCGTTTTGTTGTCGAGATATAATAATTAAAAGATTTTTTAGGAAGATTTCTTTAGAAATGTAGATATTGTAGCCGGGACGTCGGAATTTAAAGAAAATTTTTGGATATGTTTAATCAGCCGAAAAGTTTACATCTACGGAAGAGAGCGGCATGTAAGCAGGATTGCGGCTAAAGTTCTTGACCGATCTTTATGAAACTCAGTGTACTTATTCTACAAATCAATACCGAGATACAGTTTGAATATGAGCTAAATCCGCCGGTTAGTTTACGAGTTGTGGCTAAATTATATTTCTCCAACAAAATATATCCATGATTGATCATCAATAATTCAATATCAAAAATTCATCCCGATCAAACCAGCACCGGTAAGTGATTTAACTTTTTTATAATAATAATTAACATCAAATTGAACTTCTTAATTAATAATTAATAATAATTTTAAACATATTGAAAAGTATCTTTAGTATTCAACAGTTTGGAGAAAAATAACCATAAATTTATGAAAAAAAAAAAAACTATATTGTTTTTTTTCTTCGCTGAATTATCATTAGCTCGGAAGAAATTTATTTAAAATAAAATAATAATAATAATCATACCAAGTAATGCGGCCTCTAGATCTCCAAGAATTTCGGTTTCTTTGGGATCAATCAGGTTGAAACGTTGATTAAGAAGTGTAAGATGAGCAAACACACAATTGAGATGGGCATGCAGTCCCAAAAGTGCAACCTCGCGAAAGTGGCAGTGGTAAATGTGTGCCACTACGTGGTATAAAAGCCGCAGGATCTTACGAACTATCGACTCAAACGAACTCGGGAACTCGTTTGCTTAAAAACAAATTGTTAGTTCGATAAATTTAAACATTATATGCTCAGTAATTAGATATAAATTTTATTATTTACCATATTTTGTGGGAAATATTGTTTCGTCGCTGACGGTACGTTGAGTGAACGTCATTACGTAGTCAATGTACTGCGGAGCAGCGACCCGAGTTTTCTTTCCCTTCTCGTCGAACCACAAGTAAGTTCTAACAATTATTACAGTTGATTATTAATATTAGGAAATAAGAAAAAATATTTTATTAATTAACAATAAATAATTTTAAGCTTAGAATTTGCAAGCAAAAAATTTAGTGCAAAAAATCTTAAAATTTACCAAAAAAATTCTAAAAAATTATTAAATAAAATTGAAAAAAATTTTTAATAATTTTTTAAACACACCTAAGTCCAGGCCCAGTCATATCAGGACAACCAGTTTGAGTACAAAATTCCGAAATAGTTCCATAGATCAAATTAATATGATCAAAGAGAGACAGCGTATGAGAGGCCAGCCACTCGTTGTAGTCCAGCCCGGGTGGTAAGTCAACCAGCATCCTGAGGTCCAGCTCAGGCAACTGTCTCTCCAGGGCCGCTTCTTCCAGGTACAGCTTGGGGTCTTCCGTGGTTCCTGCATCTTTCTCCTTCCGTCTGGCTTTTCTAAAGAAAATAAGTAATTTAAATAAACAATTTTATTTTTATATATTAATTAATGACTAGAAACCTGGCAGTCACTTCGTGACTGCCGTAGCATGTTGAGTATAAATAAATAAAACTTTGTTTTATTGAATAATGAATTTTGTTAAATTGCACTGTACTTTCTTAAATATGGACATTTTTTAAGATATAAACTCATCCTGATGATACACTCATCGAGAGCTTTCATTTGAGTACCCACATGCACTTTTGATATATTTTTCATATATACATATATATAATATACATAAATATATAAAATATATGAAAAATTGATGTGGGTACTCAAATGAAAGGTCTTAATGAGTGTAATGTCGGGGTTAGCTTATATCTTTAAAAATGTCAATATTTCACAAGATACAAGGTCATTTCTTAATTAATGAAAATTAATTTAACATATATTTTATAATTATACAAAATTAGTAACAAAACTAATTTTTAAAACTAAAAAATGCAATTTAAAAAAAAAAAATTTTTTTTTAATTTAAGAACATATTAAATCTTGATATATTTTATATATATTCATATATATAATATATATTTTTAAGATATAAGCTCATCCCGATGTTACACTTATCGAGAGCTTTCATTTGAGTACTCACATGCATTTTTACATATTTTTCATATATATATATATAAATATAAAAATATATGAAAAATTGATGTGGGTATTCAAATGGAAGGTCTTGATGAGTGTAACATCAAAATGAGCTTATATCTTAAAAAATATCATAAATTGACAAAATACAATATAATTTCTTAATTATCGACATTTTCAAAAATATAAGCTCATCTTGATGTTACTGTCATCAAGACCTTTCATTTAAGTACCCACTTGCAATTTTTATATATTCATCATATATACATATATATAATATACATAAATATATAAAATATATGAAAAATTGATGTGGGTACTCAAATGAAAGGTCTCGATGAGTGTAACATCAAAATGAGCTTATATTTTTAAAAATATCATAAATTGACAAAATACAGTATAATTTCTTAATTATCGACATTTTCAAAAATATAAGCTCATCTTGATGTTACTGTCATCAAGACCTTTCATTTAAGTACCCACATCAATTTTT